TTAAGCAAGGGATAGAAAATAAGACCCAGAATATCTTACTGCCCCTGTATAAAACTATGGGACGCCCACATCTTGAATACTGTGTACAGATGTGGTCTCCTCACCTCAAAAAAGATATTTTGGCCTTGGAAAGGGTTCAGAAAAGGGCAACTAAAATGATTAGGGGTTTGGAATGGGTTCCATATGAGGAGAGGTTAAAGCGACTGGGACTTTTCAGAGGAGACTGAGCGGGGATATGATAGAGGTATATAAAATCATGAGTGGTGTGGAGAGGGCGGATAAAAAAAAAGTTATTTATTAGTTCCCATAATAGAAGAACTAGAGGACACCAAATGAAATTAATGGGTAGCAGGTTTAAAACTAATAAAAAGCTCTTCTTCACACAGCGTATAGTCAACCTGTGGAACTCCTCACCGGAGGAGGCTGTGAAGGCTAGGACTATAACAGAGTTTAAAGAGAAGCTAGATAATTTCATGGAGGTTAGGTCCATAAAAGGCTATTAGCCAGGGGACAGAATTGGTGTCCCTGGCCTCTGTTTGTCAGAGGCTGGAGAGAGATGGCAGGGGACAAATCTCTTGATCATTGTCTTTTGTCCACCCTCTCTGGGGCATCTGGTGCTGGCCACTGTCGGCAGACAGGCTACTGGGCTAGATGGACCTTTGGTCTGGACCAGTACGGCCGTTCTTATGAAGCATTTACCAAAAAGGCACAATTCCTCCAAAGGAAAATCATCTCCTTTTGGACAATTGTCTTCCCTGACACCCACTTCTGTTTGGACGGGACATGGGGGTTTGCGGACCCCACCCTGAGCGTGCTCTGCCTGTGAGAGGCAGCCTGCGGGTCTGGCAGCTTTATCCCAAAGTGCTTCCAGAAAGCAGAGCTAGGAACCAGCACAGGAGCCAGAGATCAAAACCAGAGCTACAGGTGCTTCCCGACAACACTGCACTCATGTCTGTACCCTTCAGAGCAGCCTGCAGACGAGACCCGAAGCCTTGTCTGTGCATGCCGCCGTGGGTCAGAGTTCACTGTTGCCATTGCACACTCGAGGTTTGGATCAGGTCACAAGAGGACCTGCCTGCCTTGAATGCTTCAACAGCTCAGCTAGGCAGAAGAAGAAACCAAACTGAGTGAGAGGCTCCAGTCTTGGTACCTGTCGTGAGGCTCTTTCGGGGCACCTGGAACCGTATGCCATTGAGTTACCCCTCTGCCTCAGCAAGAGGGGGATTTGCTGGAGCTTGAACAGGGCAGCCCCTAGCACAGCCTGCAACACACCAGGGCTCCCCCAGTGATTTCAAGGCCTGGGGCTCCAGCTATTGCAGTAGCCCTTTTTGAGTCACTGAGTCCCTAGGCAGTTGCCCTTTCCCTGCCCCCCGTCAGGGGGCCTGTGTGGATGTGGCCCCATAACTGAGCTGCGTATGTGGCCCACAGTGGCAGAGGCTGAGCCACTGAGTGGTACCAGCTCGAGCATCTGAATGCATCTCCCAAGCAAACAAATGCAGCTTTATCCCCGAGCACTCACTTCCTGTCAGTCTGGCTATCAAAAGAGCAACACAGGGAGCAGGCGATAAGGAACCTGAAGGTGACCTTCCCATTGTCGCGGCTGAGGAGGTGGCCTTGGGCAGGAAGAATTGGTCCGGTCACTCAAGTATGCAACTCTCCAGAAGTGCTGAGGCTGCAAAGATGCATCCTTAAGGCAGGAAGGGAAAGGGACCAAACAGGATCTCAGTTCCCTGTGGGCAAGCAAAGAGTATTTATATACAGGACAGTAGCCCTACCAGGATAGGGCCCTACCAAATTCATGATCTACTTTGGTCAATTTTATGGTCATGGGATTTAAAAAATGGTAAATGTCATTATTTCAGATATCTGAATATGAAATTTCACGGTGCTGTAATTGTAGGGGTCCTGACGTAAGGAGGAGTTGTGGGGGGGGTGGGGGGGGAAGGGGAGAGAGAGAAGATGGGAAAATCACATGGCTATTGTATGGAGGTTGTGGAACTGCTACCCTTACTTCTGGGCAGCTGGAGAGCAGCAGCTGCTGGCCAGGAATCCAGCTCTGAAGGCAGAGCTACCGCCAGCAGCTGCACAGAAGGATGGCTTGGGATGCTGTTGCCTCCCTTTACTTCTGCACTGCTGCCTGCAGAGCTGGGCCCTCAGTCAGCAACCTGCACTCTGTGGCCACTCTGAAAGCAGCAGTAGAGAAGTAAGGGTGACACAGGTATTTCCACCCCTACTTCTGTTGGCATGGTGCTGCCTTCAGAGCTGAGAAGCCAGCGAACATTACAACCCATCTCTAGTTGCCCAGCTCTGAAGGCAGCACAAAAGGGTGACAATACCATCACCCTCCTAAAATAACTTTGGGACCCTTTTGCAACTCCCTGTTGAGTCAATTTGAGAAACACTGGTCTCCCCCCGAAATCTGTACAGTGCAGGGTAAAAGCATGCACAAGGCCAGATTTCACACCCCGGGACACTTTTGGCATGGCTGTGAAGTTGGTAGGGCCCTACTCATCGAGGAAGGAGGGGGTAGCAGGCAAGAGTTTTTATGAAGGTCAGTAATGAGCTATGGGTGGGAGGTGTCTGGAGTTGGCAACATTACGAGGAATTTCCCTTGACCTCCTCACACACAACCATGCACAGAGATGGTCCTAGCCTCAGTCCCTGTCCTCAGTGCTGATGCTTGGTCTTGTGACCGCTTGGAACTCAGAATCCTAGAACTGGAAAGGACCTCGAGTTCAGTCCAGTCCCTGCCCTCATGGTAGGACTAAGCACCATCCAAATTAACCCTGATAACTATTTAAGAGTAGCTAGATAAACACCTCCACTAATGACGATTCCACAGCCAATTTATTCCAGTGCTTAACCAAGTTAGGAACCTAAGTCTCCCTTGCTACAATTTAAGCCCATTGCTTTTTGTCCTATCATCAGAAGTCAAGGAAAATAATTTTTCTCCCTCACCCCGTAACACCCATTTAGGTACTTGAAAGCTGTTATGTCCCCTCTCTTCTCTTTTCCAAACAAACCCAATTCTTTCAGTCTTCCCTCACAGATCATGTTTTCAAGCAATCATTCTTGTTGATCTTCTCCGGACCCTCTCCAATTTCTTCACATTTTTCTTGAAATGCGGTGCCCAGACCTGGACACAATACTGCAGTTGAGGCCCAATCAGCGCAGAGTAGAGCGGAAGAATGACTTCTCCTGTCTTGCTCACAACACTCCTGTTAATGCAGCCCAGAATCGTTTGGGGGGGGGGGGGGGGGCAGGGGAGTGTCACACAGCTGACATTTAATTTGTGGTCTAAATGACCCCTAGATCCCTTTCTGCAGTACTCCTTCCCAGTCACGTCCCATTTTGTGTCTGAGACACTGACTGTTCCTTCTTAAGTGGAGGACTTTGCATTTGTCCTTATTAAACGTTATCCTATTTACCTCCGACCATTTCTCCAGTATGTCAAGATCATGTTGAATGACGACTCTGTCCTCTAAAGTAGTTGCAACCCCTCCCAGGTTGGTATCTTCTGCAAACTTCATAAGCGTACTCTCTCTGCCATCATCTACGTTGCTGATGAAGCTATTGAACAGAATCAGACCCAAAACTGATCCCCGTGGGACCCCATTTGTTCTGTCCTTCCAGCATGACTGTGAACCATTGATCACTATTCCGGGACCTTGGGTGCTCCGAGAGCTGCAGTCCAGTCACTGCAGTAGCTCCAGGAAGCAACAGGGAGTGGCTCTCTATGGAGGCCTCCCCAGAAGGAATATTTCCCCATCACAAAGCTCGACAGCAGAAGGAGACTCTTGGCCCAGAGGGTTCTTATAGAGACTGGAAAGGGCTGTAGTGACTTCCCAGCAGAGAACTCTCAATGCAGGGGGCTTTTGGCAGATAAGATTATTCTTTTCTATTGGCTGGTTGCATAATAATAGACCTTTGACAGTTTACTTTTCTCCTGATGGCAAAGGAAGGCCTCTGTAAACAGCCTGGAATTGGATTGTGTGCAGAATGATTAATGGCTTTTAATGTTCCCTTCCATCCTGTGTTAGCAAATCCATTTCCCGGCTCGCTGTTGCTACTTCTGGGAGATGCAAGGACAGATTCCTATTTATCCTCAGAGCTCTTTGGAATGCCTAGTGCCGTCACCCACCGTGCTGGGGATGAGAAATCACTAATAGGAAACACAGGTCTGTAATCTCAAGGCCAACACCCACTACACTCTTCCCTTGCCCAGCCCTGCTAAGTAGCCTTTCCTGCCATAACACTTGAGATCTTGTCATACCTCAGCTACAGTAAATGCCTCTTTGCTAGCCCGACATCCGCTCCACCTGCCTCAGTCCATTCAAAATGGCTGCTACAATCACTGTCCATGAACATGTCCGTGAGCGCATCACCACTCCCCTTTGAATACCTCCACCAGGTCCCCGTCACATCTAGCCACTTGCCCTCATCTTCATAGCCCTTCACACCTCTGCTCCTCTCTTCATTAGGTCGCCCCCCAATGCTGCTTAGGAGAGGACACCAGCGTTGCTCACGCACTTGGCAGCTGTCCTCACAAGTACATCCGTGCCACGGTCCATGCTGCACTCTGGGTGCGAAACTCCTACCGAGCAGCACAATGTGGCCCTGGACCTCACCCAGGCCTCGTGGTGCTACTGCATTACAGAGACGATGCACCTGGCTTGAATAGTTGTAGGTCTTGGTTAGAGAGCGCAGTTTAATAGCTTCTGCACCCAGGACATTTTCTGTTCTCTGACCTGTGGCTTCAGGTTTCACACAGAGGTTGAATTCACAGCACAGGACGCTCAAGCTGCAACTCACTCGAGGGCCTTCTTTGCAGATTACCGAACACAAAAGCAGAAGTGACGGAATCTGTAATAGGGCAGCTCAGTGTCCCAGCTGGCCTGGGCTCTGCATGTGGAACCTCAAAGCTTGAGAGAAACCCAACAGACTAACCCCAGTTAGCTGAAATGTCAGCTCGATCGCAAGTCAAAACCACGCAGAGAAAATCAGAGGGTATTTGTCACTTTTAATACTCACTGCAGGGAAGATTAATGACAAGCAGAAGCTCAAACAGCCGTGGAATCTTCTCTCTAATCTGGGATTTACATTGTAGTTGAAAATAAGGGTAATTGGACTTTCACATACCACACTTCCTGGAGTCAGTCTAGACTCCCTTAAAGGGCAGAGCCTGGCTGTTAGAGCGGGAATTAACAGAAGAAACTAGGGAATTTCCAGCTCCAGGGTTCCTGGCTGGAATCACTCTAGAACAGGGAGCAAGCAGGGGTAAAGGGTTGCAGTGACATGCCCAAGGTCACAGAGTCAGTGGCACAACTATTAATAGGCCCTCTCTCAACACTTATGTCTGTGCAGTAGCCCCACCACTCTCTCCTCTTCCACGCTAGCCCATGCTGTGCGGGCCCAGTGCTACTCTGACGCAATGTGGTCGGACAGTTGCTTCTATGGTGCTTGTCCATATGGGAAGGTAAGTGTAAGACTTCATCTGCTGTGCACGAACCTCGTTTGTCATTTTCACTTCCAGGTCAGGGGCCCTGTGTTTCCATCGGCATGATACCTCTCCCAAAGTACCCCAGAGAGGTTATGTGCTTAAGGGATGCTATGGTTCGGATTCAGCTGCTCTTGAGTTAAGCAAGCCCAGCCTCTAATTCAGGGCAGGGTGGGGATCAATCACCCCCATACTACATAGGATAGAGGGGTGTGGGTCAAGGAACAGAAGAGGGCTCCCAAATCATGTTGCCTCGAATCTTCTCCATTCATGGGGGGATTTTTTTCCCATCCGTGGGTGGAATACATTGGATGTGCACTGAGGGCTGTACAAATGTCCATCGCTGGTAGAAGACCTAGTTCTGCTAATCAGCTGGGTGGCATTTGAATCTTTGCTGAGTAATCGCACACTGCTCCCAAAGCAAGAAGAGAGGAGAAAGAGGGAGCCTATCAGGGAGGGCGACTAGGTCAGGAGGAAGTGGCAGATGCTGCTGCCAGACTCCAAGGAGCAAGAGACTCTTGGGATTACAACCAAGGGACTGCTGATTTTTTAAAGCTAGTTTCAAAGCTTGTTTTCTTGGAAACTGATGACCCTCGTCTTTCCAATTGCCCAGAGCAGCAGGGCTCTTGCTGGAAACCAAACTCAAGACAACCCGAACAGGAAGAGGTGAAGAGGCAAATCCACAGTGAAGAGACTGTTAGATTGCAATCTGCGATGCTCAGACACCACTGGCACCCAGCTGGAGTGCTGGCAGCCCCAAGGAACTGGAACACTGGTAGGAGAACTGTTAGGCCTTGTCATTGACCTAAGCTACACAACTTCAGCTCCGTGAATAACATAGTTGTAGATCTGCTTACTGGGTATCTTCACAGTGGTAAGTCGACAGCGGATGCTCTGCCATTGACTCCGCTGACTCTTCTCGTTTTGGTGGAGAACTGGAGTATACAGGAGAGCACTTGGTGGTTGATTCATCATATCTGTACTAGATGTGCTAAATCAACCCCCACTGGATCGACTGCTGCCCATCAATCCAGTCCGTAGTGAAGACATGCTCTTATTACCTCTACTGCAGTCAGTCTCTTGTGAAGGCTGAAGACATGCTCTTACTACCTCTACTGCAGTCAGTCTCTTGTGAAGGTTTGCATAGCAAAGATCTTAGCACAATAGAAAAGGGTGTTCACAATTCCCACATAGACCCTTAATGAGGACCAGCCAGATTGGGTACAAGATAAAAAGCTGATGGGTTGTAATGCTACTTCCCACAATAGGGCTGAGGTTGCCCGGGACTCAGGCCCACATGCCAGTGTGGGGGGGGTCTCTCCTCCTTTTCTTTGGATTCAGGTCACTCTGGGTTTGTTGCCCCCAACCATTTTGCTTTTTTGTGTTTTCCAGCAGATTAAGACCTCAAAAGACAGTGGAAATGGCCACAAATCAGAAGCCACCTACTGGCCCGGGGTGTCCCAACACATCATCCAAAGCAAACCAGTGTCCAGGTGCGCTGGGAAACTTCTTACCCAGCTCTAAGTTGGGAGGTGAATGGCTAGTTCCAGATATCTTGGGATTTCACACAGCTTACTAGTAGCAGCAAAGCAACCTTCAGTGTTGGTTTTGCAACAGATTTGTATTCTCAGCTGAGACAGCTTGAATGGAGTCCCCTGCTTGTTGGCCATGATGGAACACAACTGTTCCTGCCGTAAGAGAGCAGCGTAGCACAAACCCACCTACACCTCACATTCTTTTTGGTATGTTACTGAATCTGTTCTCTCACAAAGCAGCTCTGTACTGCTTTGAACAGTGGTTATTTAAGGGTTTGATTTCTCCTTTAAATGTGTGTTACTGAGGAATAGCACAGAAAGGAGAAGGCTTACTAGGAGAGAGAAAATGGGGTCAACAACATAAATCCTCTCTCGAAGGAAAGGCAAGGGGCAATGTTGCTGTAAGGGAATTCAAAATATTAATAACCTTGCTTGAGAACAATGAGGCTGTAGACATGAAACCACTTACCACTTTAAGTTTTGATCTGAAGGTGGAAAGGAATTTCCTCCCCAGGAAACAAAGTTTCTCCTCCCCAACAATCATGTAGGATTATATCAGGTCTTATCTTACTCCCTTTTAATATTACCATTCCCTACCTTAAGCCCAACCAGGCAGCCCCTCTAGTATCTATCCCTGTAGCTCTAATGTCAGCCAAATAAGCTGAAAGCCAATATAAGCGCCTGTATCGTTCAGCATAATGCTTCTGCCAAGCCATCAGCCCTTAGGTCTCGTCTTCACTTAGAGTTAGAATTCAACCTTGAGGGGTTACATCAACTTATCAACTGGTGTTTTGCCAGGAGCCCAAAGTCGTGATCAACTCTGTTAAGAGTCCTTAAGGAAAGGAGCAATTTTCTAGTAAAGATAAAGCCATTCCTGTCCAGGAATGAGCAATGGTCTACAAGAGATTCACACAAGGTTGCCATCTGGCAACCTGATTTTAGGTCAAAGAGACAAGACATTTTCACTAGAAAGGGTTTAAAAAAAAAAGTGGATGGCCGTAAGCATTTTTGTTAAGGTTAGAATTTTCATCGGAAAATAAGGAAGTTTGTTATCTAACTGCCATGAAATTGAAGGGATTTAGGTAGCCACATACCTCAGTCTTTTTAAAATCTCAGTCTAAACTCACTCAACTGGGATTTTGAGAATTTTTCCCCAGTCCAATCATATGTGTGTGGAGCATCTGGTTCTTTCTCTGAGGATACTGCAAAGTAATTTCAGGAGATTAGCACAAAAGTGCAAGCAGCTGCACATCCTGTAAAATATGACCTGCCTTTCCTGCCCATTATGGGACCCCACTCATCATTCAGTTTCAAATCAAGAGCATGTTACTATTGCTCAGGATTATATTGTTTGCTTTAGCACCAGCATCAAATACTCTGAAAAAGATTATTTGAAGGGACATGATCTAAATTAAGCCTGGTGAAAAAAGAACATGATATGGGAGTTTGGAAAGCTGGTGACTTCACATGCCTTGACCACCTGGTCACAGAAACAGGCTCCTGGTAGGTGGATCTAGT